ATCTAGTGTGAGACTAGAAAACAGGGAGATCTGGAACGCCCCAGATCTGGAACGCCCCAGATCTGGAACGCCCAACTCAACATGATCACAAATTGGGAAAGCAATGTGAAGAAAAATCTAGCTGAACAAGGTGGTTTTATTGCAGACAATGATATCTATCCAGTTTTGAACTGAATTCGAATTAAATCACTAGAAGAAAAATCTAGTGTGAGACTAGAAAACAGGGAGATCTGGAACGCCCCAGATCTGGAACGCCCCAGATCTGGAACGCCCAACTCAACATGATCACAAATTGGGAAAGCAATGTGAAGAAAAATCTAGCTGAACAAGGTGGTTTTATTGCAGACAATGATATCTATCCAGTTTTGAACTGAATTCTTAAAACAAGGTCTAGGCAAACTGAGGATAGCTCAGTAGATAGCACAAAGAGTTGTAAGAGTTCTAGAAATCCTGAGAGAAAAGGTTAAAAGAACTAGGTTTGCGTAGCGTAGAGGAAGAGAAAAGCGAGGGAGAACATGGTAACACCTAGTGAGCATCTGCCTTCCACGTCCACCAAGAGAGGATAACCACCTAACTTTCAGCAAATGAATATTGCAAAGGCATTTGCAAAGAAATAACAAATCCCACCCCACCGCTCCCTGCCAAACATTAAGGACAGTTATAGGTAGTTGCTGAATACACATTCTTTAATACCAGGTTAAATAGATGCCTGTCAACTTGAAGTGTTTTAGTGGAAGGGTGGGACCAATGACTTAGTAAGGTCCCAGTGCTTTTAGGACTGCTACGGTTACTTAAGATACAAACAGTAATTATTTTTTAGGTTCTCCAGAGAATGAAAATCAAGAAGCTAGAGAATACAACATAGCAGCAATAAACACAGTAATTAAATCCATGATCTCCTTCGGTGGCTTTCACAATAACATGGCAACAGACTGTATTCCTGGAACGGTATCTTTCTTCTTGCACCCTGCATGAACAACTTGACCGTGCCCATGGACTTCTAATTGGCAATGACTTCTGTCTTAAATAACTAATGCAAATTTGGTAGCCAAATACATACGACTTTTTCAGAATAACTAATAAATACCATTTAGTATTTGAGAGGGAACTATCTGGCTTTCTACTTGACGGAAGTTTCTCTGGTAACAAAGTTAAATATTTCCAAAACAATGCTCTCTAAATACGGGTACAATTTATTGGCGGGGGGGTTAAATTAGACAAAATAAGCACCAGTGCAACAGCAGGATCCTGTTGTGCACAACATGGAGAATTTAATATGGAAAAATGAATGGAGTGTGTATATCAGTAACAATAAAATAGGAATGATACTGCCATGATTCATCGACTGAAGATTTCCGACTAGCATTTACAACGGGCTTGATGCTAAAACCCTCAGACCTTTCTTTGGGAATTGCCTCTGAAATACTCTGAAGAATGCTTTTTATAAATTGCACAGCATTTTAAATAACACATTGCCCTTATATGGCCTTAAGGCACAAAACTTCCAGTCACCATAAAATCCAGCTTACACATGTAAACCATATCAAGGAAAAAAAAAATCAAAATATTGAGAAGTTTTCACTGATACCACATTTCTCAAGTGGGACACCTTGATTTTCAGCATTTTTTTAAAAAATGAGTACTTCAATGAATGCCACCTGCAGTGCCCATGTTCTCTGAAGAATCAGGCTCAAGATAGGCACCACCTGGCACCAAAAAAAGCTCCGAAACCTACACTGGTGTGCAAGTGGCTTGAAACATGCTAAAACAGCATCAGAACATGGTCTGGTATCTTCACATTGCACCTTCTGATCTATGCACTAGACACAGCTTCTTCTCCAGAATAATCAGTAAACTAAGTGCGGGGGAAAAGGCATATAGAAATTCAGAGTGGAAGTATATATACACCGTGATGAGAGAGAAAAATTCATATGCACAAATAGTTAAAGGTATCCCATCTATCTGTTTCATCCCTCCCATCATCTCTTTCCCGGTAAGCAGATGTCCTAAACGTGAGGTCAAGTTGCTCTCTGTCCATATTCTATACATGCAACTGAATTTTGTATTACGTAGTGCAAGGAGGACCAACTTCAACAGGATTAAGAGCAACTCCCTAAAATAATCCCAGAACATCCTGCGGCTTGTTGATTATTAAACCCTCCAGAGATATGATAGGAGTTTGAATTCCCTCGTGTTGAAATGGAAACTGAACTCGGATATCCCACCTTCTGAGTGAACGCTCTAACCGCTAAGCAGTTGTACAAAAGCAATGCTTCTCTGCCACTTGTGTTGAAAGTTGCCCGATACCACCTTGGGTTTTGATGGAAATAACATGCCTTATGCCAAGAGAGAGTTCGGGGCTGCAAATTCCAAGTTCAGCCTCAGCAAGGAATACAGCACAAGTTAAATAGATTTCGGTCATTTTTATTTCTTCTCTTCGGTGTTTGATCCAAGTGTCACAATCTCTTTTTAATTCTCCCTCCACCCACACAGGAGAGTATTATGTCCTTCCCCATGGGCTGCAAACTCCATGCGGGGACCGAGATCTACAAAAGAGAGGTGCCAAAGCATTTGTATCAAGTCCTACTTGTGGATCTAAACTCTAAATGCCATGCATGATAAGAATATAACTTCCCTCCCTCACAGGGGATGCTAGGTGCCTGCACAGTAAAATGGTGAGGGCCCCACTGGTGCTTAAGATAAAACACCCAGAGAAGCAAGTGATCACCCTCATAGGACATATCTACGATTCTTGAGATATTTAGTCCTAGTGCAGCGTTTAAGACTAAGCCTTACTAGGCTCATTATCAGAAAGCACTTCTATACCTGAATGTAGCTGAAGGTTTTCCAAGATAAAAATGCTTCAGCTGCTGACATACCATCTGGCAGCTGTCCATCCATCCCGTTCCTCCTCCCTTGGGAGGGACGGACGGCAGAAAAAGAAAAGAACATTGCCCTTGACACAACCGATCTGGAAAAATCTCCCTTTAGATATAGACCAACGTTCCAAATTACTACCTTGAATGGCAAATATCCACAAGCTTATGTGGGCAGAGGGATCAAAGCTGGATCAATAAGAATAACAAAAAAGGACTGTGTTTATTCAAGATAATGGATAGTAAAACAAACCTCACTGGATTCACACCTTAAAAGGTGCTGGTCATCTGCTAAGACTGTTACCCAAACGGGGTTACTGAGAATGACAAAGCTTAGGATTTCTCCCGCTGCTGAAGTTATTCAAAATTATCTGAAATTCCTTTGGCCAAAATCACTCCCCATTTAAATATAACAAGTTAGCATGAAGACCCTTTCATCATGAGGATATTAAAAAAAGGGGTTTGTTCCACATCTGTATAAGGGTTAAAACCACCATAGTATTCCCCCTCCTGCTGCAAACGGCTACCACTGGCAGGATCTCTCCGATTATAATCTATTATAAGATGAGAAAGTATTTATGAATAACAATTGCTTTTGCAGGAATATAAATTTCTATGCAGAAACCAAGGCGTGTCTGAGAGAAAGAGCAGCATATAATGAGATTTTGCTGACATTTCATAATCACAAGGACAGATTCTAGCACAAGGAAAAAAAGCGTACTTCTTTTTCTCTTAAGAACAAGATGCGATGCGCAGGTCGGTCTGTCTGCTGCCACCACCCTGCCACCAATACTTCTCTGTCTCCTTTTCCTGCTCTCAGTCCCTCAGGAACCGCTACACTCATATTCGCCTGGCCTGAAGCAGCCCGAGACGTCACCCTGTCTACCAGCAATGAAAGTGCAGCGTATCCTAAAATTCAGGGCACGGGGCCAAACACACCCAATCAGTAGTCGCACTTGTCTTAAGAGAATAGGGTTACGAGGCCATAGATTTCAAAAGCTAGATGGTAGGGTTGACCCATTTTTCCTTGAGGAAGGAAAAGAAAAAAAAGAAAAAGATAACTATCTGTCATCATTTCCCTATCCCAGTGTAATGGTATCACCTTCTACTGGGCTCAGATATCGGTAGAAGCAGCTTGTAATGTATATGGCTGTTGCCAAAATACATCACGCTGCTATACGGCAATCTCTATATAACGTTAATCAATTCTGCTTGCTGCAGCAGACCATCTGCTTTGCTCACACCGTAGTACGCTAACACGTACTATCTGCTTACGCTGCTGTCGAGCACACTGGGGCATCAGCAGTACAAGGCAATCCGAGCCATGCTGAAAACATTACTGTGCTGACAAAAATTCAACGAGCTGAAGAACGTACATTTCTCCTCCCTATAGAGGAAGCAGCATATATAAAAATATGCTAGAAAACTGATACACATTAAAGGGCAATCTAAAAGATGCATATTGATAATGTGCTGCACCTATGATGTCATGCACATATAGCATTAAAACAGACAATTCCACTTGAGTATTCATTTCCTATATAATCTATTTAATTTAGCTGCACTGAGAGTAACATGCATATTGTAATTTAACATCAAGCACTGCCTCCCATTCACTCCCCACACAACTACAAATACAGAATGTTCACACGACTAATGCTCCAGTACAGTACACGACCAAACACAGAACACATTCATGACAACCAGCAACCCTTCCCCATCCCAGGCACACAACCCAGCCATTACAATGAGCACCTACAGAAAGAACACAAAGAACACACCCCATAAACAACATCTCTACCATCTCCCTGCCACAAATCCCACAAGTTCAAGCAAAGGCAATAGAGAAGGCAACACAGGCAAACAGCACACACGGCACCATCCCTCACCACCCCACCATCAGCTCCACCATGCTGACAAAATTACAAAGCCATCCCTTGGTAACACATGCCACTAAGCGGAATATAAAACATCCCACCACTGTAGACAGATGTTATTACACACACACACACCCCTTCTCTCACTGCTGTTCACACCACTGTCTGCCTCAGAAAACCTGCTGCACACATGCAATATAGAAATAAATTCTCGCATACACCTCCCCAACACTTGGTGATTTCTAACCTGTGTGTCAAATCCATTTTCTACCGAGCTACTCTTCCTTGGTGGGAGTCCATCTCCTGTGTTTTCTTGTCCATTAGGAGATTTGAGAGGAATCTGGCTGGAATACAATGGCTTCGTCACCTCCACCTTGTTCCCAAACTTCAGGTAACAGGGCTGTGGGATGGTCCTGGCTGTTGGGACATGCAGGATTGGAGCAGCGCTGTGTACGGGTTTAGGTAGTCCCGATTTCATTTTGGAGGCTACCAGGATGGCTGGCATTTTCTCTTTCTGCTTTCCTAACACGTTTCTGTCAGCAGCAGCAATAGCAGAGACAGCAGGCAGGGAGAGAGAAAAGGACACGTTGAGGAAACTGCTCTACACTAAAGCAGCCTGGTTTACTGCAGGGATCTCCAAAATCAGCTTAGAATTTAAAACCAACAAAAAAAAAAAAGGAAAAAAAAAAGAAAAAACAAAACAAAACCAAACCACTTTCAGCCTAAAATATCTCCCAGCTCTATGCCAGCCTTCCACCTGTTTCCTCTAATTTTATTTTCAGTTCTTCACCACTGTCCTCCTTCCTATTTCTGCTGTTATTTAACTTGCTCCTTCCTTTCTCTGGCTGACTCCTGTAATTTTCGTCCCTGGAAATGGGAGACTTTCACTCCATTATCTTGTCACCGCATCTCCAAAGTGAGGCAGCCTTTTGGAATAAGAAAAAAAGGAACCTGCTGCTGCATATGCTTCCCCTTCCGTACGCACTAGAGAGCGAGCGAGTGAGCGAGCAGGATTTCCAGCTTAGGATGTCTTTCTTCAGTCTTAGCCAAGAAGCAGATGTAGCTCAGTGTGTTAATGACTGATGCCCTTGGATACGAGCCTTAGAGAGTCAAGCTTCTTAAGCCTTAATAGCTGTGAACAGGACAACGATGCTGGAGCAGAAGGAGAAACGTCCACTGACGGCAATTTTAAATAAAAACACGCCAGTGGCCACAAAATTTCCCGACTCCCCCAGTGCTGATCATGAAAACCTGGAGGGGAGGGGGGAGGAAAAAATAAATAAATAAAAATATCATTCGGCTGTCAGACGGAAGGGAAAGCAGCCGCCACCTCGTTTTCCCCTCCCGCAGCGGAGCGGGTTCCCGCCCGGCGCATCCTGCGCCTTCTCCCGCGCAGCCTGCCG